AAAAGCACAGAGCGTTGCAACGGCCCAGATCTAATGGATGAGGATAAATGAAGGAAAGCAGTACAAGAAAAAACAAAAATACTTAGAAACTCCAGGAAAAACAAACAGCTCTATAAGAAAGGAAATGTGACAGAACCCAGTTGGCTCTGATGTAACTAACATTCCCCTAGTCCAGTGGTCGGCAAACTCATTAGTCAACAGAGCCAAATATCAACAGTACAACGATTGACATTTCTTTTGAGAGCCAAATTTTTTAAACTTAAACTATATAGGTAGGTACATTGTTATTAACTTAACTAGGGTACTCCTAAGGCTTAGGAAGAGCCACACTCAAGGGGCCAAAGAGCCGCATGTGGCTCGCGAGCCACAGTTTGCCAACCATGGCCCTAGTTGATAATAATGTAAAGACTGTACATTGAAATCAATCTATAGTCAAAGCTTTGAAGATTTAACTATGGTTACAGAACACAATTTAATGTCAACAACCTTGACAGTTTAAAAATTCAGATAGGGAAGCTGAGAGGTAGAAGCTAAAGGGGGCAGTAAAGGCCCTCATATCCTTGTTTTACGAAGTGCAGAGTCAGGCACTGCTGTCTATGGAGTATGGAACAATGGAAAAAAGTGTATGTGTATTGCTTAATGTTACAAAAGTAATCATGGAGGAGTTAAAAACATTGGTAGGACCCTGTTGGGGTGTGGGGAGAGAAGACTGATGATGGTGGTATATGTTATCACCTATCATGGAAGAATGGCTATAGGTCATGTTTAAAACTGATAAAGCAAGAAATTGCCGTATAAGCTCATTATTTGTAAAGATGTAGAAACCAACCAGAAGAAGTAGCTAAAAGAGTTAAGAAGTGTTGCTTCTTGGGAGCTGGACTGGCAGTTAAGAGAAGAGGGATAGAGTACAGTGGCTTTTTAGCATAAATCTTTCCAAATTAAAACTGCTTAATTTTGAAACCATATGCATATATTTCTTTGGTAAAAAGTCATTAAAGCCCTGGCTGGTTTTTCTCAGTAGATAGAGCGTAGGCCTGCGGACTGAAAGGTCCTGGGTTCGATTCCTGGTCAGGGCACATGTTTGGGTTGTGGGCTTGATCCCCGGTAGAGGGCATGCAGGAGGTAGCCAATCAATAATTCTCTCTCATCATTGATGTTTTATCTCTCTCTCCCTCTCCTTTCCTCTCTGAAATCATAAAACTATATTTAAAAAAGTCTTTAAACTAAAATTATGTTTTAGAAAAGGCTGATACAAACAAATGAAGAAACTGAATATCAAAGAAATTAAGTGACATGCTCAAGGTCTGCGAGCTTATCAGTGGCAGCGCTGGATTCAAAAACGGGCTCTTTAATGTTAGTCTAGGGCAGTGGTTCTCAACCTTCCTAATGCTGAGACCCTTTAATACAGTTCCTCATGTTGTGGTGACCCCCAATTTCATTGTTACAAATTGAACATAATTAAAGCATAGTGATTAATCACAAAAACAATATGTAATTATATATGTGTTTTCCAATGGTCTTAGGCGACCCCTGTGAAAGGGTCGTTCGACCCCAAAGGGTCGCGACCCACAGGTTGAGAACCGCTGGTCTAGGGTTTTTTTTTTCGCATGCTCACACAAACCATTCGACAAAATTCATTGAGCATCTACTTTGGCTGGATGTGATGTCAGGTGCTAGGCTCAAGAGGAGTAAGTCCTCACACTTCATAGTCTAGTGCAGAAGGGCCGACCCTTCAACCAGTCCTTATAATGCAGTGTGGTTACATGATCATGTGATCGTGTAGAATTTGGAAAAGTAAGCTACTTTAACCACAATCAGTTGAGATTGCTGTCTCTTTCCACTTTGACTTCTTCATAAATCTTCCACTTGTGCTGGGTGGTGTTGGAATGGCTGTGGGTTTTTGTGAGGTGACCAAAAGGAAAATTGTGTTGGAAATGCATTTAGTGTGGGTTTAGTGCTATATATTTATGTGGTTCTCAGTCATTTCTGTGTATAGTTATGTTATCACTAATTATGCTAGCATTGGAATAAAGTAATAATTAATGCCCTCTCCCTAAGATCAAGAGCAAAGAAAGAATGTTGGGATCTTACTACTACTATTTAATGTTGTGCTGGAGTTTGTAGTTAGGACAGTCAGGCAAGGCAAAAAAATAAAAGGCCTATAGATTGGAAATGAAAAGTAAAACTGTCTTGCCCAGCTGGTGTGGCTCAGTGGTTGAGCATCGACCCATGCACCAAGAGGTCACTGGTTTGATTTCCAGTCAGGGCTTATGCCCTGTTGTGGGCTCGATCCTCAGTAGGGGGCATGCAGGAGGCAGCCAGCCGTTCGCTGTTTCTCTCTCATCAATGTTTCTCTCTCTCTTATCCTCTCCCTTCCACTCTCTCTAAAAATCAATAAAAACTTAAAAAAAGTAGCAAAACGGTCTTAATTTGCAAATATGATCATCAATGAAGAAAATTCTAAGGAATTTACAAAATGCTACTAGAACTATGAGTTTAGTAAGTTTCAAGATATATACTTAATATACAAAAAGCAATTGTATTCCTATATACTAGCAATATTCTGATTGAAATAGACAAACTTTATTTTTAGTTTTAGAAATTGACAAGCTGATTCCAAAATTGAAAAGAAATTTCACTTATACAGAATTCTAGAAAATACCAAGTAATCTAGAGTGACAGAGGCAGCCTATTGTTTGCCTAGGGATGTGGAGAAGGCGCGTGTGGGACAGAGGGGAGAGATTACAAAGGGCCATAAGGAAACTTTGGGGGTGAAGAATCTGTTCATTACTTTGATTGTGGTGATGTTTTTATGGTTATATCTATATCTAAAATAAATGTCAAAACTCAGCAAATTATATATTTTAAATATAGGCATTTTATTGTATGTAATCTCAATAAAGCTATAAAAGCAAAAAGAAAGATTGGTTAAATGAATTTGAGTAGATCCATAAGCAGAGATACTATGTAGCAATGAAAATTATGGAAAGGAAGGAGAACACCATGTGAATACTCAGGCGGGGAATGGACTGAAACAATAAGCCAAGGATTGCCAGGGATTATCAGCAACACCAGAAGCTAAGAGAACAGCACCGAATAGCCTCTCCCTTAGAGCCTTCAGAGAGAGCAGGGCCCTGCCAACACCAGGGTTTCAGACTTCTGGCCTCTGGAACTTTGAGAAAATAAATTTCTGTTGTTCAGAGCGAAAACAAAACCAAACCAAACAAAACCAAACCTATGGAAAGATATTTAGGATAATCGTTGAGAAAAAAAAATCAGGTTACAAGATAGTATATGGTCACTTATTTTTTGATAACCTGAACATGTCTAGTGGTCACTGTTTGATTACAAGTAGTGTCACATTAAAATTAGTCCATGAGCCTGGCCGGCACGGCCCAGTGGTTGAGTGTGGACCTATGAACCAGGAGGTCAGGGCACATGCCCGGGTTGCGGGCTGGATCCCCAGGAGGGGGCGTGCAGGAGGCAGCCAACAATAATTCTCTCTTGTCATTGATGTCTCTATCTTTCTCCCTCTCTCTTCCTCTCTGAAATCAATAAAAATATATTTTAAAAATTAGTTCATGGTTTATGCCAACCCATAGCCACCCTGCCAGCGTGGGGACCCCCTTCCCTGCAAGTCCACCTTTCCCAAATATGACTCACTGCTCTTGGAAAGCGAGCTCCATCTTCGGAGTCATTTGCTGTGGCGGACACCTGTGGCCTCTGCTGAGCTGAGGCACCTGCATTAATGCTGAGCCAGAGACAGGCTGGGCTGCAGCCCATGTTCCTGCCCTGACAAGCTCAGCCTTAGGGTGCTCGAGTGTGTCCCAGGCAACGTGACCAGGGGAAGGGCCCCATCTAGTTGCACAGCCGGAGGTCCCCACAGGAGGCTGGTTGGGCCCCAGGTGTGGCCGAGCTCAGCGGGGCAACTCTCTCCTTTTCTCCCAGAGGTGCTGGGGCAGGAAGAGTTCAAGTGCCCGCCCCTGGGAGGTGTCTGGAATGACTGATCCCTCCCACTCTCCCGTCCTGGTGTGGAATGCACTCCTACTGCCAAACCCCTCTTCCCCAGCTACGCAGTCTTTCAGGGACTACCATCATCCTCTGTCCGTCCCTTCTAAGTTTGCCAGGTGAGCCTGTACCCCAAACATGAACACTGGTGGAGATTTTTCTAGGCAGTTGCTCCATGTTTATGATTGCATCATATATATTTCATATCATATCATATATCACATCCCATCACATCACATGACATCACATATATACATACATGCAATGGGAGGAGGAGGGGTGCCTCCATCTCCCCCAATCAGCATGTCTTCATCTTTCAGCTCTAGTCTAGCTGGAAGCACAGACCCCACAATATCAATAAGGATTCTCTGAGTGAAGAGAGATCATAGATGGTATCTATTTTCTTTCTTCTTTTCAGACTCCCCATTTTAATTTTTTTAAAAATATATTTTATTGATTTTTTACAGAGAGGAAGGGAGAGGGATAGAGAGTTAGAAACATCATGA